AATTAGACTATCATGGTTAATGGTGAATAAAAAAAAGTATCAGTCATATTGAATGATAAAATGTATAGTGGAGAAAATAAATATTTTATCCCCTACAGATTTTGTACGTTTGCCCACTTACAAAAAAATGAAGGGTCTCTAATTTGTTATTATAGGTGTATTTTGATGGAGACAGAATATCAACCAAAAATAAAAAAAAAAACACACATGAAACAAATGTTATAAAACTGAGTTGCAGTTCAGTGAGTAAATTAAGCATTTGATCCCCTACCAACCAACAATAATTCTGGCTCCCAGAGACTGGCTATGTGCTCATGTGGTACACAGATTAGCACTGTTAATTTACGAAGATGCTCCTAACAAGAACTCGTTAAGTGTATAAAAGACACCTGTCCATAGAATCTCTTTCTGTCATTCAAACCTCACCATCATTATTTTTAAGTCCGCAAACGTGCAACTATAACGAAAAACCCGTAAGTGTTTCACAAAAAAGTGCAAGTGCAAAAACACCACACAAAAAGTGCACTTAGGGGTGTGCTGTGTCCTACCCCTAAAGGGGCTTGGACCGCTTACCCTGATCCCCCGGGGCACGAAGCTCCTGACGGGGACAAGGTTCCCACTTAGTCCTCCTGGCCAAAAGGCCTGGTGGACCACCGTTCCCTATGCCCAGCCGAAGCCGGACATTCAGTACTAGGCAAGGGGACTCTCCCGAAGAAGAGTCCTCTAGGGATCAGGGGAGGAAGGAACCGTATGGCCACACATCCTCCCCCTAGACTTCAGGGTAGGCCCGAGGACCCACACCCTCCATCCGTGAAAAACACACACATAAGGCAAAGAAAAAGTGACAAACGTGGGTAAGTGCATAATAAATAAATAAATAAATAAGAGAAAGAAAAAATAAAAAAGTGGTACCGTGCCGAATTGTGCACAGACCAGGCCCTGAGGCCCGTAGCAAAAATTGCCCTGGACTTAGCCAAAAGACCTGGTCCTTAGGGCGCTGTGCAAAAAGAGGTGAAAAACAGTGGCCATGTGTCATCTTCACACCGTGGGGTCCCACACCCAAGTGTTACTAGTGACACCCCTGAGGCGACTACTCAGGGGGCACTGAGTTTGCGGACTTTTTGCGTCCCCAGCCCCAGGCCAGACCAAGGTAGATCCATCCAAATCAGGAGGTACTGGGTCTTTCCAGTCTTCTCAGAGGAATTACTCCCGGGGCCCCAGCTTAACTCGTGGCGCTCCCCGGTTTCTGTCCCTCCGGTACTAGCCTTCCGGACCCCCATCATACCAGTGAGGGTACTATACAACAACCATCCCCGCAAAGCTAGAATGGTCGGGAGCACCCCCACTAGACACTGATAAGAACAGATACTACACTTGATCTTAGCCAAAAGGCCGAGAAGCGACATTATGGGTGAGACCAAAGAGCTGTCAAAGGACATCAGGGACAACATTGTAGACCTGCACAAGGTTGGAATTGGCTACAAGACCATCAGTAAGAAGCTTGGTGAGAAGGAGACAACTGTTCGAGCAATTATTCAAAAATGGAAGATATACAATATAACCATCAATCGTCCTCGGTCAGGAACTCCATGTAGGATTTCGCCTCATGGGGTAAGGATAATCATGAGAAAAGTGAGGGAACAGCCCAGAAATACATGGGAGGAGGCTGTGAATGATCTCAAGGCAGTTGAGACCACAGTCACCAAACAAACCATTGGTAACATAATACACCGCCATGGATTGAAGTCAAACGATTCAGAGAAGGATAGGGAGAAAGTGCTGTGGTCGGATGAGACCAAAATTGAGCTCTTTGGCATTAACTTGACTTGCCATGTTTGGAGGAAGAAAAATGCTGACTATGACTCTAAGAACATCATCCCTACAGTTGAACACGGAGGTTGAGGGGCCAATGGATGGGTCCATGTATTATAAAATCTTGGATGAGAACCTCTTTCCCTCAGCCAGAACACTGACGATGGGTTATGGATGGGTCTTCCAGCATGACAATCACCCAAAATATACAGCCAAGGCGACAAAGGAGTGGCTCAAGAAGAAGCACATTAAGATCATGGAGTGGCCTAGCCAGTCTCCAGACCTTCATCCTATAGAAAATTTAGGAAGGGAGCTGAAACTTCGAGTTGCCAAGTGACAGCCAAGAAACCTTAAGGATTTAGAGAAAATCTGTTAAGAAGAGTGGACCAAAATCCCTCCTGAGATATGTGCAAACCTGGTAACCAACTATAAGAAACGTCTTAACCCTGTGCTGACCAACAAGGCTTTCTCCACCATGTACCAAGTCATGTTTTGCTTTGGGATCAAATACTTATTTTACTCACTGAACTGCAACTCAATTTATAAAATTTGTGTCATGTGTTTTGTCTGGATTTTCGGTTGACGTTCTGTCACTATAATTTCAAATACACCTATGATAAACATTATAGACCCTGAATTTCTTTGTAAGTGGGAAAACATACAAAATCTGCAGGGGGTCAAATAATTATTTTCCAAACTGTATTTATTTGAGAACACATGGGTCCCTTCAAATTTGCTATATTTTCAGAGGCATTCAGTAACACTTTAGAATTAACATGATGAATGGATACAAGACAAAATTCTGGTTAACTTCACTTTCTGGCTTTTTCAGTATTCTTTTCTTTTTTTTTTCCTTTCCATTTCTTCCTTCATTTGACCTTATGTAATTTCTCAGGTCATTCACTTATAGTTGATTTCAGAGATGTGTTTATTAGAGTACACCATCTGGCGGGCGGATGATCAGGAAACATGCATGGCATAACTGCTGATATCTTCCCATACTGCTCTGGTATACAGGAGCAGAAATATCAAACCTGATTTTTGTGTAACAGATGCTGTTGTACATGAAAAAAGATGTAGTTTACTTACAGAACAAAATTTTAGAACACTTAAAACTACTGAAATAACAACTTGGTAATGATCTAATCCAGGATTTTACTCGCCAATTAAAAGGTGTAATTAAAACACTACCAACCCACCTACATTCAGAGCTTATCAATGCGATTCCAGATAATCCAGAAATTGGGTTCTTCTAAATGTAGCCCACTTACTGAACAAATCTCAGGCCTAGAAAACGTGTTAAAGCTATTAGTCTCAAATATGGCTAGCTTCATGCAAGATACAACTGATTTCCTGAACAAGATGAACAATATATAACAATTACCACCAAATACACTCTTAAACAATGTGGATTTAAAATCTCTGTACAGTAACAAGTCTCACAAGGATGGGATTGCTGCATGTCAGATTTTTATCATCTATGCCATTTTATTTATGGCTGACCTGGAGGACAAATTCCTTAACAGGATAGAACAAAAGCCATATATACATAAGGCTATATTGATGCTATTTTCATCATAAAGTCAGGTGAGGAAAAAGACTCCTTGATCAATGCTTTTTGCCGTTCAATCAAATAAAAATACTATTCATACATTTCAGCTTCCTAGACAGCACAGTATCCATCAGGGATGGCAAGCTGCACACCAGTACACAAGAAACCCACTTACTGATGCAACCATCTCCACAGTTACAGATTCCACCCAACGCACCAAATGGGTCATTATACACAGCCAGGCCACCAGATACAGATGACAGAAAGAAAACATCTCAGAATATTAGCAGAATCTTTCCATAGGAACGTTTACAAGAACTACACCATCAATACAAATGTAATCACAGCCTTGAAAACCCAAAGAGAAAATGTCTTACAACACAAAGAGAAAAAAACAAATAACTATGTACTTCTAGTAACCACCTAGAATCCAGCACTAGAAGGGATAAGAAAGACAGGGCCGGATCTAGCCTGTCTTATGTGGGGGTGCAGTAAAAAATGTCAGGGAAGCAGAGGATGGGAGGTCAACAGAGAAGTGCACAGGGGGTCAGCAGGGCAGAGAATAGGGTAAGCAGTGAGTAGGGCTGTGTACAGGGGTCCACAGGACAGAGGACAAAGGTCAGCAGAGCTGAGGATAGAGGTCAACAGAGCTAAGAGCAGGTTTCAGCAGGGTGGAGAAAAGGGGTTAACAGGGAGGTGGACAGGAGAGGACAAGGGTGACTGCTGGCAAGGCAAAGGACAGGCGTCACTTCTGGCAGGGCAGAGGACGGGTCACTGCTGGAAGAGCAGAGGTTAGAGCAGTATAGTGAGAGGTTAGGCTAGTATAGTGGTGGGTTAGTGTAGTATAGTGGCAGGCTAGGGCAGTATAGTAACGAGTTAGTACAGTATAGTGGTGGGTTAGGGCAGTATAGTGGTAGGTTAGTGCAGTATAGTGGTGGGGGTTAGGGCAGTTTAGTGGCAGGCTAAGTCAGTATAGGGGCAGGCTAGGGCGGTATAGTGGCAGGTTAGGGCAGTATGGTGTCAGGCTAGGGCAGTACAGTGGCAAGCTAGGGCAGTATAGTGATGGGTTAGGGCAGTATAGTGCTAGGTTAGTGCAGTATAGTGGCAGGCTAGGGCAGTATAGTAACAGGTTAGTGCAGTATAGTGGTGGGTTAGTGCAGTATTATGGTAGGCTAAGGCAGTATAGTGGTGGGTTAGTGCAATAAAGCAGTAGGTTAGTGCAGTATATTGGTGGGTTAGGCAGTATACTGGTAGGTTAGTTAACTACTTGCCAACCGCAGATAGCCGAATGACAGCTACACTGCGGCCGGCCAGTTCTGGGAGGGCGTCATATGACGTCCGGCCAGTTCTGGGAGGGCGTCATATGACATCCTCCCAGAACGCGCTCTCCTGCGCGCCCCAGGGGGCGCGCACCCAGCGATCTCCGTGATCGCTGTGTCCTACGGACACAGTTGATCACATGATGTGGTAAAAGGCCAATCACAGCGGCCTTTTACTATGTGATCAGCTGTGTCCAATGACACGCTGATCACCGGGAAATGCAATTGCTGGTTCTCAGCTGCATTTTCCTCACGCTGTCAGAGCGTGAGGAAAGTACTGCCGAGAACCGACAGTTGTCAGAGCAGGGATCGGCACCGATCATCAGGGCACTGATGATCAGTGCCCAGCAGTGCCACCCACCAGTTCCGCCCACCTGTGCCCAGCAGTGCACCCACCTGTGTCCAGCAGTGCGCCCACTTGTGCCCAGCAGTGCACCCTCCTGTGCCACCCAGCAGTGCCACCTACCTGTGTCCAGAAGTACCACCTACCTGTGCCCAGCAGTGCCACCCACCTGTGCCCACCAGTGCCACCCATCAGTGCAGCCCAGCAGTGCCACAAACCTGTGCCCAGAAGTGCCACCTACCTGTGCCCAGCAGTGCCACCCACCTGTGCCCAGCAGTGCCGCCAGTCAGTGCCCAGCAGTGATGCCAGTCAGTGCCACCTATCAGTGTTGTCTATCAGTGCCTCCTATCCGTGACACCTCATTAGTGCTGCCTATCAGTGCCGCCTATCCGTGCCACCTCATTAGTGCTGCCTATCAGTGCCCATCAGTGCTGCCTATCAATGCCCATCATTGCCACCTATTAGTGCCCATCAGTGCTGCCTCATCAACGCACATCAGTGAAGGAAAAAAATTACCTGTTTGAAAAATTTTATAATAGAAACAAAGAAACTTCTTTTTAAATTTTTTTGCTATTTTTTTTGTTTATAACGCAAAAAGTAAAGTGCCCAGCGGCGATTAAATACCAACAAAAGAAAGCTCTATATGTGAGAAAAAAATGATAAAAATTTCATATGGGTACAATCTTGCATGACCGCGCAATTGTCAATCAAAGTGCGAAAATTGGCCTGGTAAAGAAGGGGGTATAAGTGCCCGTTAGGCAAGTGGTTAAGTATAGTGGTGGGTTAGTGCAGTATATTGGTGGGTAGGCAGTATAGTGGTAGGTTAGTTAAGTATAGTGGTGGGTTAGGCAGTATAGTGGCAGGCTAGGGTTGTGTGTAGTGACAGTGCTCAGTCACTTACCCCATGGCTGGTGATGAAGACTCCTGGGCTGCTTTGTCGGCTCCTCCTCTTTCTCCTTCTTCAGCTGCGTGATCAGCCTGAGTGCAAGAGTCTGTGGGAGGAGGCAGCCACACCCCTGGCCCTGCCCACTAACTTCTGCTGCCTCGGGAGATATTGTAGATCCCTGACGGAGAATCTCACCTGATTAGATGGCAGGGGAGTGTTACAGACAGCTTCCCCCCTCCCTGCTGGGTCCCTGACCCAATCAACAACTTAGCCTGGCAGTATTTTTAGTAGCTAAACCACTTGCCTACTAGGCACTTATACCCCCTTTGTGCCCAGGCCAATTTTCAGCTTCCAATACTGTCGCAATTTGAATGACAATTGTGCGGTCATGCAACACTGTACCCATATGAAATTTGTATCATTTTTTTTCACACAAATAGAGCTTTCTTTTGGTGGTATTTAATCGCCACTGGGGGTTTTATTGTTTGCTCTATAAACAAAAAAGAGCAAAAAAATTGAAAAAAAAATGTTTCTTTGTTTGTACTATAAAATTTTGCAAACAAGTAATTTTTCTCCGTCACTGATGTGCGTTGATGAGGCTGCACTGATAGGCAGCACTGATGAGGTGATATGGATAGGCTGCACTGATGAGGTGGCACCGGTGGGCATTGATGAGGAGGCACTCATAGGTGGCACTGATGGGCGGCTCTGACTGACGGCACTGACTGGCAGCACTGACTGGCAGCACTGACTGAAGGCTCTGCTGGGCACTGATAGGCGGCACTGATGTGGATACTGATGAGTGACACAGCTGGGGCATTGCTGGTCACTGGTGGGCGGCACTGAAGGGCACTGATCATCAGGGCACTGATGATCAGTGCCAATCTCCTCTGTTACAGCTGCCGGTTATTGGCAGTACTTTCGGCACGCTGTGACAGCGTGAGGAAAGTGCTGGCGATAACCGGCAACTGTATTTACATCGTGATCTGCTGTGTGATTGGACACAGCTGATCATGTGGTAAAAAGCCACTGTGATTGGCCTGTAACCTCATCACGTGATCAGCTGTGTCCGTAGGAGGACGTTCTGGACACGTTCTGGGAGGACGTCATGCGGCTATGGCGCGGTTACCAAGTGGTTAACAGCTGCAAGGACAGGGAAAGTGCTCCTGTCTGCATGGTTCAGTGGCCAGGCACAGAGTAAAGGGGGGAAGTGGTTGGCTTTCGGGGGTTACAGCTGAAATCTGCGGGGGCGTAGCCCACCCCAGCACCCCCTGGATCCAGCCATGATGAAAGATAATCAAAAATTTGCAACCCATCATAACAAAGGATGGAACTCTGAAAAAAATATAACAGCGCCAGTGCTGGCTTTCAGGCAGCCACCCAACCTCAGACATAAACTAATCAGTATTAGAGTTCATTCCACTCTACGAATGTCAAAAATACTCAGAAATGGAAAACTTAAACTAAGAATGATAATTCTATTTGGCACAAAGGATAATGAAATATGGACCTCAGTTTTCTAAATCACTATCCAACATTTTTATAACCAGATGTTTGTGTTTGTTTTCTTTCAGAGATTGTCTTACTTAATATTCTGCTAAAACTTTATGTCTTAGGCTGGCCATAGATGAAGCAACCACTCGATTTCCCCATCAACACAGATAGTGTTGAAAGATGAATTCCTCCCGCCAAGCCATATTTTCTCGGCGGGGAAAGCTGTCCACCCGCCAGGAGAACACAGTGAATATTGCTAGCGGCTATAGTAGCCGCTAGCAATAATCTCATGTAAAATCCGGCTGGCTGGTTGTACTCAAGTTGATCAATCGATTAACTTGGGTACATTCAGCATGCCTATACATGGTTCAAATCTAACCATCTACAGCCAGCTTTAGCACTGCTTGGACCTTGAAGAAGTGGGTATACCCTTAAAGTTTGTCCTGAAAACATAGATTTTAGTGTAATTTAAAAAAGTATCAGACAGTACTCATTTGCTTTTGTTGCAAGTGCACTGATATGGCTACAATCACCTAAAGCATAAACTTTGGTTTATGGGTACTCTAATGAGGACCCTGATGTAAGGTTGGTTTTTAATTTAAGGGGGACTCTAATGGGAACGATAATGTAAAGGGGACTTTGATGGGGACTCTGATAGGGAACCTGATGTAAGAGGCAGAGTCTGACTTTAGTGGGAGTCTGACGGGAATTTTTTTTGGCCCGTGAATATTTATAATATATACAGTGTGGCTCTCATACTGAAAAGTTTGGAGAACCCTGACTTACAGTGCATCCAGAAAGTATTCACAGCGTTTAACTTTTGCCACGTTTTGTTATGTTACAGCCTTATTCTAAAATAGGTTAAATTAATTTTTTTTCTCAACATTCTACAAACAATGTCCCATAATGACAAAGAAGTTCATTTTGAAATCTTTGCAATTTATTAAAAATAAAAAATTAAAAAACCCACATGTACATAAGTATTCACAGACTGTGCTCAATACTTTGTTGAAGGACACCTTTAGCACCAATTACAGCCTCAAGTTGTTTTGAGTATGATGCTATAAACTTGGCACACCTATTTTTGGGCAATTTATCCCATTCTTCTTTGCAGTACCTCTCAAGCTCCATCAGGTTGGATGGGGAGTGTCGGTGCACAGCCATTTTCAGATCCCTCCAGAGATGTTCAATCGGGTTCAAGTCTGGGCTCTGGCTGGGCCACTCCAGGACCTTCAGAGTTGGCCCATAGCCACTCCTTTGTTATGTGGGCTGTGTGCTTAGGGTCATTGTCCTGTTGAAAGATGAACCATCGCCCCAGTCATAATTGTCATTATGGGGTATTGTTTGTAGAATGTTGAGGAAAAAAATGTTTTTAATCCATATTGGAATAAGGCTGTAACATAACAAAATGTGGCAAAAGTTAAGCGCTGTGAATACTTTCTGGATGCACTGTAGAATAATCATTCACAATAATGTACAGCTCAAACAAACAGAATAATGTGTAATGTGGAGTATAGTCAGTGGCCCTCACATCAGTATTGCCTTAAAACATGGGCATTATCCATAAATCCAAGTTTTCTGAATTGCTCTGCTCTATCTCAATTGGTGTTTCAAGTGTGGTGTTTTTCCTAGTGTACAAAGTCACCAACTGTAGAATAACTTTGTAATACCACATTGCACACTACTCTATTTGAACTGTTCATTAGTTTGAGTGATTATTTGGAAAGGTTGTAGGGTTAAGAAAGGGGAGGTTGTGGTTTCCTATTGGAGTGATTGCTAACATAGACTATCTTTATTGGAGTTTTGATACATTGTACAACTCAGGAGGTCTTCTAGAAGTGTGCTGTGATGTTTTTTCTGTTTTTTATTGATTTTCCGGAGAAGCATGGCATTTCAAAGGAAACCTGGTATCTTAGAATGTGGAAGCTGCCATTGCTGACTTTTTTTATTTAAAGGCAAAAGTTTCAGGGCTGTCATGCTTATTTTTGGGTTTCTTGGAAACCTAGTATGCCTATGTTTGTTTCTGGTCAGCAACTCAATAAGCTAGTCATACATATGGATTTCTCTATAGCAGTGATAACTCATAACAGAAGATCTAGCAAACACTAGTCACATGTTTTCTATCTCCTCTGTCTATCTTCAGTGTTAGTGAATGCTGGAAGGCAGAGGAGAAAGATATTGAATTCTGTGTCCACAGTCCCTTTTGTAACCTTAAAGCAAAACACCAGGGGTCTTTTTAGAAATCTGATATTTCTCAAGTTTCAAAAAACCTGAAATAACCCCTTCCCACAAACACTTTTAACTTACACATGCACTATACACATTGTGGTAATGCAATTTCATGTGTTGGTGCACTATGTTGCACCAACACACTATGGGCCCATTCAAACCAAGTGAAAAACATGTTTTTTTTATGCATTTTCCATCTCCTCAATTCTTTTTTTCCTTTTGGGGTCAGGCTATTTATTTGTATACTATATTGGAAATACATACGTATGCATGTACAGTATGTATGTTATATTTGTTTGTTTTTATTTCAGATATTTAATTGATATTTGTCATATGTGAGTTTAAAGTGGTTGTAAAGGCTCAAGGTTTTTTACCTTCGTGCATTCTATGCATGAAGGTAAAAAACCTTCTGTGTGCAGCTGTGCCCCCAGCCCTCCCTAATACTTACCTGAGCCCCATCACGATCCATCAATGTGCACAACAGCCTTGGCTGTCCTGGGGCTCTGTTTCCTCATTGGCTGAGACAGTAAGTGGGAGCCATTGGCTCCCGCTGCTATCAATCACAGCCAGTCAGCCAATGAGGAGAGAGAGGAGGCAGGGCCAAGCCGCGGCTCTGTGTGTGAATGGACACACGGGGCAGCGGCTTGAAAACACTCCTGCTTGGGTGCCCCGACAGCAAGCTGCTTGCTATGGGGGAACTCGACAGGAGTCAGGAGCACCAGCAGGGTACCTGAGAAGAGGAGGATCCAGACGGCACTATGCAAAACCACTGCACGGAGCAGGTAAGTATAACATGCTTGTTATTTTACTAAAAAAAAGAACCTTTATTATTGCTTTAATGTTCTGAAGAAGCAGTGTTAACTGCGAAATGCATCAACAAACTTTGACTGTACATTACGGACAGTATATCCTAGATGTGATCTTTTATGGATTATGTTTGTATACCCATGTTTTTAAAATATGTTTAATAAATATTATATGTTGGTTTTTAAACTTAGAGTATCTGGACTTGATATACACTATATGCTCTGGACTCAATATATACTGTATACTATATTGCCAAAAGTATTGGGCCAGCCTTCAAATCATCGGATTCAAGTGTTCCAATCACCTCTATGGCCACAGGTGTATAAAATCAAGCACCTATTCATGCAGACTGCTTCTACAAACATTTGTGAAAGAACGGGTAGCTCTCAGGAGCTCAGTGAATTCAAACGTGGTACTGTGATAGGTTGCCACCTCTGCAAAAAGTCCGTCCATGAAATTTTCCTTGCCACTAGATATTCCACGTTTACCTGTTAGTGGTATTATAACTGGGAACAACAGCAACTCATCCACAAAGTGGTCGGCCACGTAAAATGACAGATGCTGAAACGCACAGTGCACAGAAGTTGCCAACTGTCTGCAGAGTCAACAGCTAAAAACCTCCAAACTTCGTGTGGCCTTCAGATTAGCACAACAATAGTGCATAGAGAGCTTCATGGAATGGGTCTCCATGGCCAAGCAACTGCATCCAAGCCTTACATCACCAAGTGCAATGCAAAGCGTCGGATGCAGTGGTGTAAAGCAGGCCGCTACTGAACTCTAGAACAGTGGAGACTTATTCTCTGGAGTGATGGATCATGCTTCTCTGTCTGGAAATCAGATGGACGTGTCTGGGTTTAGCGGTTGCCAGCAGAACAGTACTTGCATGACTGCATTTTGCCAAATGTAAAGTTTGGTGGAGGGGGGATTATCTTGTGGGGTTGTTTTTCAGGGGTTGGGTTTGGCCCCTTAGTTCCAATGAAGGGAAGGGAACTCTTAATGTGTCAGCATACCAAGACATTTGGGACAATTTCATGCTTCCAACTTTGTGGGAACAGTTTGGGGATGGCCCCTTCCTGTACCAACATGACTGCACATCAGTGCACAGAGCAAGGTCCATAAAAACATGGATGAGTGAGTTTGGGGTGGAGAACTTGACTGGCCTGCACAGAGTCCTGACCTCAACCCGATAGAACATCTTTGGGATGAATTGGAGTGGAGATTGCGTGCCAAGCCTTCTTGTCCGACTACAGTGCCTGACCTCAGAAATGCGCTTCTGGAAGAATAGTCAAACATTCCCATAGACACACTCCTAAACCTTGTAGACAGCCTTCTCAGAAGAGATGAAGCTGTTCTAGCTGCAAAGGGTGGGCCAACTCAATATTGAACTCTACGGACTAAGACTGGGATGCCATTAAAGTTCATGTGCGTGTATAGGCAAATGTCCCAATACTTTTGGCAATATAGTGTATATATAAAAGCAGTGTTAGCAAGATCAGGGCTGATCTCTGTTAGCACTAGCAGTTAATTTTATTTCAAGCACACAAGCAGTCCCTGATCACTAGTCAGTAGCTCCTTTTCCCATAGTCACCACTAGGTATATGTAACGCTAGCTCCCAAAATTTCCAACAAAGGCACTAGTAAGGAGGCGTACAGGATTCTGAGCATGACAGATGAGAGAGAGAAGGGGAGGCCTCACTGTCAGAGTCAGAATATGAACCTGTAAAAAGCAGCGACACCAATGGTGAAGAGATATCTGATAAAATCAGGCATACCTGACCCCGTGATGCGGAAGTTCTAGAAACATATAATTAGGCTTAGATGTAGTAGGGCACAAGTACATTTTGGTGATCTGGCAAGAACCATCAGCATAGTACATCCTGGTCTTTTAGATACCAGCACTACAGTAGGTGAAGTGGTGAGCACCAGCAGTGTAGTACAACCACAGCAACCAAAAATTCAAGTATATGCCTGTAGATCCCATATTAGCCTTCCAGAGGTGCTTGCAAACCCTAGTTGGCAGCCCCCAGATTCAGGAGTGAGGGTCAGGTGGAAAAAGCCAACCTAACAACACCCCTTGACTTTTTTTAGCTGTTTTTCACTGGAAGCCTCTGTAAATTGATTGTGGACCAAAGTAATGCTTACGCCCAAAGGTACATCACTGCCAGCCCAAATTCATACCTTGCCAGGCCATTCGAGTGAAATCCTATCACGGTTTCTGAATTTAAACCTTTTTTGAGCCTAACCCTCAACAAGGGCACTACAAAAAAGATGGCCATGGCAATGGCCAGAAAAAAATGAGACAATAATGCATTTTATGCTTTTCAGTGATGATAACCTCAGCTCCACAAAATTCGACCTCTCATAAATTACCTGTCCCAGAAATTTGCACATGCATACATCCCAACAAAACATCTGCATAGACGAGTACATTTTACTGGCATGCTTGCAAACAAGCAGTATGTACTCAACAAGCATGCTGGATATGGGGTCAAAATGTATAAGCTCAGTGAGAAGGCCACAGACTGTACATACCATTTAAGAATTTATGAGGGAAAAGACAGTTAAGTGGATCCCCCCCAGATGAAGAGACTACATGGGGAGCAGTGGTAAGATAGTGTGGCAGCCTGTTGTCACCCTTGTTCCATATGGGGTATCATGGTTACGTGAACAATTTTTATGCAAGCGTGCCACTTTTTAGACATTTGTTCCTTCATGAAATTGGCTGCTGAGGTATGCTACCTAATCGCAAGGACTTCCCCCAACAAGTCATTGACATCACACTTCGAATGGGGGAGAAACCTTGCTTGAGAAATGAAGAACTACTAGCAGTAAAATGGTAGGACAAATGTGATGTATTCATCCTGTCTTCCATTCACCCAGATGTGATGGTCCAAATTCACTAGATCCTTCCTAAAATTTCAGGAAGCGATTCCTCTTAGCCCTTTTGTACCCAGAAGGCACGGTGGCCCAAAGCCTAAATTCAGATGCAATTAACTGGCTGCATGAGAGGCATTTTTCCATACTCCAACTTACCCCAACACAAAAGTCATCCCAAAAAAGATTTCATGTCTGTGGTAAACAAGGCATGACACCCATTTTTTTTCCCATCCTGTCCTCACCAACCTGGCCTTTGCCCCAAGGACTGCTTCCATCGCTATCACACAGTAGTGGACTATCAGTCTAGGGTACAGCATGGCACAGTATAGGGGTCCACACAATTATGCATAAGAAGGGTCTTTAAAGATGTTATGTAGTCAGGAAACTGTCTAGCACATTTTGAGAGATCCAAAAAAACAAAGGCTATAATGATTATTGTTTTGAAAAGTTAAGTTACAAAAAATGGAAAAAAAGGTGTGTTTATAGAGCTAATTGATTTCCTGACTGCCTATCAAATTTTTGAAGGTCCTAAAATGCCAGGATAGTACACCCCCCCCCCCAAATTAGACCCTTTTTGGAAAGAAAACACTTCAAGGTATTTGTTAAGAGGCATTGCCAGTATTTTACAGAGCTCATCTGTTGCCAAATGTTTTTAGAAATTGAAGAAATGGGGTGTCTATTTTCCAAAAATGAGTTATTTAGGGGGTGTTTTTACTGTACTGGCATTTTATGGCCTCCGAAAATGTGATAGGTAGTCAGGAAATCCAATGCGTAATTAACACCCCTTGAATGCCTGAAGGTGGTCTGTGGATTTTGAGCCTCTGTATATGGCTAACCTGCCAAAATGTCTCTTACATGTGGTATCCCCATACTCGGGAGAAGTAGCTGAATGTGTTTTGGGGTGTAATTTCACATATAGTTATGGCATGTGTGAGGAATATTAAAATGACGTTTTCCAAAAATTTGTGACAAAATATCAAATCTTCCATGGGCTCAACATGCCTCTCAGCTAATACATTGGGGTGTCTGCTGTTTCATCACCACGACATCCTCACGGGGCGGTTTGGATGCAGATGTCAGACCAACCCTATGCCAACCCTGATGCAGAGTGCGTGCGGTATATCTAGGGTTGGTCTGACGTCTGCCCCCAGACTGCACCGTGAGGACGCCGTGGTGATGAAACGCGTAGGACGTGGCCAACTGGATGCTGACGTTGTGGCACTCCTTCTGTGTCAATCGGAGGGGATCCGCAGTGAGCAGTGCTAGTGATTTATGCCAATGCCTTTGATGCTGGTGTCAGTCTAGACACCTTGTCTGTAAGTGTGTTACTACATTAAAATATGCTTTGGTTTTAAACATGCTGCACTATTATGCCTTTTCTTTGCCTTTGAACATGGTCCCAATGACTATGGAGAATCGCATATCCATCTAGGAGAGAGTGGTTGTGGAGAGCTTTTCCATTTTTTGTCTGGAAATCAATCCATAGTACAGAATGGCGTTTTTTTTTTTACATCTTAAGGGATTCAATACTGCAGAATATTGCACCCAATACCTGGAATTGGACTATTCATCGCTCCCAGAGCAATAGCGCTTATGCTGGTCCATGAATTGATCAGCATGTAGCTCTGGTGAGTTACCCAACTTTATTTGGTGGTGGATTGCACACGGTGGTTTTAAATTTATCCTGTGGGATTTTTTCAAAAGTGTCTGGACTTTCACATATTCATTTTTGGACACTTAATGGTTTATTCACAATTAATTTTAGTAAATATAAACTGCTAAATACATTTTCCCATCAGCAGTTAGAGCAGTCATGTGACTTCTATTAGTGTCTGGCCGAGCACTGGTTAATCTTTTAGGAGGAGTTTTCATTCTCCCCTGGCACTGGAAGAAGGGGAGGATCAGAGAAGATAAGATCAAACAGCCTTTTTACACAATGCGGAGCATTAACTCCTCAGGTTCCACAGTACGTATAAGAAGCATGCTTTACTGCATACAGCTGTTCTCGAAAGTCTACATAGCATGGCAGAAATTGTGAAATTTTAACATTGATATTGAAAATATGACTGATCATGCCAAAAAATTCTCTTTTATTAAAGGATGATGATCATATGAAGCCATTTATTATCAAATAGTTGTTTGGCTCCTTTTTAACAGAAATCACCCAAATGGCCATAATCAAAAGTTTACATACCCTGGAATGTTTGGCCTTGGTACAGACACATGGGTTAAAAGTGACAAGTGACATTCTACCCGCGGGTAGATTATTATGCAGACAAGTCTGTGGATTGATTAGATATGAATTATGAAATTATACACTGAAAGGTTCACAAGATCTATTTTTCTGCTTTCCTATGTGTCCGAGACAAGGCGAGTGACCCATCAAACTGTTCGCCTGCTCATCGCCCATCTGACGATATGCCTGGTTTTTGTGTAAGTCTCTCATATTCCAAGATATTAGACACAGGGGAAAGATGGATTTTAACAAAGGTTATTTGATTCTGTCACCTACGCTGAGTTAGGTTTATTAGGTTGGAATCTCTTTCAACTCTTGG